ATACCTTTTCGCATAAAAAGAGTAGGCTATGATAGATTTTAATAATTATTTTAAGTAATATAAATCATGTTTTGTGACTGTAAGTCACGTTCTGTAACTATATTACACGTTAAGTGATGATTTTGGACTTCGTCAGTAAGTTGTAGTGTATTAAACAAAAATATTGCAATACAAATTTGGTGATAACTTTTTGAAGCCTACATTGAAAACTTTAAATTATATTTTTTTCAGATAGATAGTTTCTTTAGAAATATTTTTTTTTGTATTAATAGTAGAAACACAAGAGCTTTTTTCTTTATTGAATAAATTTTTTATTCATCAAAATTATTAAAAATTATTATTAAAAACACAATTTTTATAAAATAAGTAGAGTGGGAGTGGTCTACGCACTACTAGTGAAATGTAAGTGGAATAAGTACTTAAGTGTGTAAAATATTGAAAATGTTTTATTATTAATTACGCTGAGCGCTTTCGGCTTAACAAAGCCATCGTCAAAGCCGTCCTAAAAGGTGTTACAAAATAAAATTTTTATAAGTAGTAATAGAAGACAAAAACTTACGTCTATGATACCTTCCACATTGAATCAATTAAACAATACATTGAGTTGTTAAAAAAAAACAGAAACAATTAAAAATTAGAAACATTTATGGGCAGTAAAGGCACCAAATCCCATTAAACCCTATAAGAGGTATAACGTTAATAGTAATATTTCTTTTTAATAAATTATTTTCAAGTTATTTTTACGTAGTTTGATGTTAACATTGACTTTGAACATCAACTCCCTTTTTTTGACAGAAAAAAGTGTATGCTTTAGAATTTTACAATTTTAAAATTAAAATAAGTAGGTTTTGGCATATTGGACTAAAAGTTCTATAAAACAGTTACATATATAAAAGAGAATAATTAAAATGTTAATTGATATACTAATTTTCATTCAGATTAGGAATTGATTTTATTTCTTTTGGGCTAGTACAAAATATATCTACCCGATCCTCCAGATCGTGATAAACTTCGACCATTTGATGCACTGGCGAAGAAGATAGGGTGTTAGCATAGACGCCGAAACTCCGGGGGCTCTGGGTGCGCAAGCACCCAGAGCAGTATTAACACAACGTGGACAAAAAATGCCAATAAGTGAAATGAAGAATTTGTCATGGCCAAAGTTGGTAGAGCGACAGGATGCATCGATGTGGCATCAGTTTTTCATTGGCTGTCAGATTTGTGAGCTGTGATATTGCACGTTGCGATAATCCTAATGCCAATGCAAAATATTAAAGCTTTTTGTTAAGACTCAACTCAAATTTTTTCTTAGGTTAGAAAACAATTTTTCATACAAGACGTCACTTTAAATTTATATCTCACATATGCTTCAAATTGTCCGAGGGCGTTTTGAACAAAACCTCTATTATTTCATGGAGACCCAGCGTCAGCATTTCCAGCATTTACTCGAGTAACTGGTAAGCATTTAAAGAAAATAAAAATCTTTAAAAAACCATGGCTTGGAAGACAGTTGCGATTTAAAACTCGGGGGGTTATAATCTAGGTAAAAATACTTTCAAAAAAAGATATTATTCAACCCCTCTTTTTATTTAAGATTTTAGGGGTTTCACTCCCGTTAGAGGGTTTCCTTTCAGGGGATGAAACTGGTAAAAAAATGTTTCACCCTAAAATAAAAAATTGACGGATCCGAGCGTTTTTTCGTAAATGACCTGGAGTGCCTAAAATTGGCTCTATTTCGTTTTCAAATGGCCACCCTGTATATGTACAATACTCCATTATATGTGTGTGTTAATAAATCATCAAAAATTACCTTCCAAATTTATAAAAATAAATGTTTTATGTTGTGTTTCTACTTATTTCATTGGTACTCTAGCACCGCTGCATCACTGAATACCCGTGGCTGCACTGAGCACGATTTAGGTGGAAGCTTCCAACCTACTAATTGTTGATACTCCCGTCTGCCGCTTAAATCCATAAAATTTCAGCAATTCAATATTTGAAAACACCTTTTTTTTTTCAAAAAGTATTTTTTAACCTTGAAATGCTCTATAATCATCTCCATGTCCTGTCCCTGATTGAAGTTGAGCATGTTTCTTGCTTTTTTAATGCATTTTGAACATTCAGTAAGTGTTTTACAGTTTGTAAACTTGAATTATTTGATTACTTGTTTGAAAAAAAAAAACTTAATGATATTTTTTACTAATAAAGGAAAAAGGACTGTCCCTAAGAATTACATCAACTCCATAGACACGTCTAAACTTAGTATTTCACGAATGGAATTCGCTTGTGGTGGGGAGTCTATCCTTTGAATGTTCATGTTAAAATCAAAGTATATTAACCGTTGAGTAGCGACAGTTGGGGAAACGAATTCTAGTGCGCCGAGGCGAAATAGAGAGGCGAGACGTCTTCTAAAGATGTAAACAACCCCTTTCACTTTAGTCCGGCAGCTGATATAGGAATTCGTTGTTGTGGATTTATTAATCAAAAATTGTATTCAGCGACATGTTTAAACAATGCGAAATTTAAAGTTTGTGACAACTCGATTAATAAATAAGAAGGTCCGTAAATAATAATTTCTATTGTTATCAAAAATCAAAACCCTGGGCACCCACCAACTTTCAAGTCTCTAGCTCATCCGGACGTAGGTAAAAAAATTTAAATTTATCAATAGTGATATATATTTTTATATTTACTACATAAGTTAAATACTCATAAATATAAAACTGCCTAATGACCAAACCTTTATTATAAATGTAAACTACAAAAGAGTTTTACTTCAAATTACGTCGAGCAGTGTAAACATCACATTCAAGACCCAGTTCATAATTCGAGCAGTGTTTTACTGTGTTGTTCCGTCAATAACGTCAGTCAAAAGAGAGAGAGAGAAAATTTGCACCACCCAAGATCAAAGGCACCGACGCTTTATGTCGCTACTCAACGGTTAATATACTTTGTATCTTCCAAGCAGTCGAAGGCGATAGTGCGGGCATAAAGGACGCTAACCATTCATTACCAGGTGAGTATAGTTTAATTTTTTACAGAAATTATAATTAATACTTAATTATTGAATTCAATTTTCTATTATACATGCTGTACACCTCTCATGCCCAATCGGAGATCTTCCTTAAATACCTCTTAGTCGACGATTTTGCATTTTTACATAAAAAAGTCACCTCCATGAATATTAACTCCATGTACAACTCCATGTACTTTACTGGACCATGGAGTTGACTGTTAAGCATGGAGTTGATACACTTTTTGCTTTCAGATCCAAAATGGGAAAACTGACAAATATATTGAAAAAAGAAGGAAGCAAAATAGAGAAGCTGAGAGAAGGAGAAGATAGCGAATTAAAAATAATCCTGAGGGATACGAAAAGGCGAAAGCATCAGAAAGAGAAAGATACCACCGAAGAAAACCATCAGCGAGGAATCAAACATAAAAAAACGCATAATTAGAAAAAGATGGAGAACAGCTTCTAAGAAATACATAAAATCTAAGAAAACTATGATAACTGCAATGAAGTTTGCGGAACGCAATTCGCCACCAGCCAGTCCATTTTTGAACGATTCAATTTTGAATGGGCCAAACTTTAATCAGACTCCGAATCAGACTCCGAGAAATTCAAGAAGGGATTCTGGAAGAAAGTTAGCCCGAAAAAATAAAGCTAAAATGTGCAGAGATATTCAAAAATTGAAGTTAAAGCTACAAAAATTTAAAAATGAATTAGAAAAGTATAAGAAACGATATTATAGACAAAAAGATAAAAATAAAGCTGATGGGGAAAAATTCCAAGAGTTGAGTCCTGAATCGAAAGTTCGGGAGAGCCTTAAAGGTTATAATGTCCCTCAACACATTAAGAGAAAAGAGCTGTTTTCATAAGCATTAACAGCACAAATTTCAAAAAATCTTAAAAATATTAAATCTGTAAAACGTCGAAAATCATTCGGAAAATTATTTTCTGGAGAAATAATAAAGAAGTACCGACTTCTTGGAAGAATGAAAAACTTTGTTTCTTATAAAATACTTAAAAAATCGAATGATAAAATCTCATCTAGGAAAAGATTTTTTAAGGACTGGAAGTTGCTGCAGGCAAAGGTGACACTGTAACTTTAGGTCAGTTAAGAAGCAAAAGAGATATTTGAATTTCTCCATGAAAGAATTACATCAAAATTTTATCAAGGCCCATAATATTAAAGTAAGTTATTTTTTGTTCTGCGCATGTCATCCTTTCTGTGTTTTGATGCCTAAAACCTGTCTCTGTATAAAACATGAAAATTTTAGACTGCTGTTCACAAAAATGAAACTTTTGAAGTTCTTTAATTACAGTCAACCCAAGGACTTAATCAAAAGTTTATGTTGCGAAAATAAAATGAAAGAGAGTTGTTTAGAAAAAAGATGCGACAACTGTGATAAAAAAAAATTACTTGGAACCAAATTAATAAAAAGGAATCTGCTGTTTATAAAAAATGGATACTAGTTAGTGAAGAAATAATTGTTAAATGCATTAAGAAGACATAAAGAAAGACGTTATTTGTAACAATGAAAAAATGATGGAAGCTCTTCAGCATGATCTTCCAAAGTATATGTAACACATTGCAAACATAAGACATCAATATCAGTTTATCGACACCTTAAAAGATGTTTTCGTGCATATGGATTTTTCTGAAAACTAACAATGCAAATACAATAGAGAGATACAAAGTGCGCATTTTGGTGGAGCTAAACCACAAATATCACTGCATACTGTAGTTTGGTATTACAAATCATAAAATAGAGAAATAAAAAGAAACTCGTTTTGCAGTTTATCTGAGAATACCCGTCATGATCACATTGGAATTTTTGCTCATCTTCAACCTTTATTTCAACAAATTTCGGAAAAGTTGATAACCATTAATAAGGTGCATTTTCTCAGTGACGGGCTGACGACCCAATATCGGAACAAAAACATGTTTTTTGTTTTTGCTTCCAAGTTCGTAGATATATTGAAACCTTCAATTATGACTTGGAACTTTTCTGAAGCAGGTCATGGAAAAAGAGCTCCAGACAGTATTGGTGAAGTGATAAAATCTGCTAATCGATTAGTGGCTTTAGGAGAAGATATTCATGATCCTAAATGTCTAGTTGAGCAAGTATCAAATCGTTGCTCTGGAATTCAGTTACAAGTTGTCACTGAAGACTCTTTTCAAAAAATTGAGAGCGAATGCTCAGTTCCAAATGATTTCAAAGCTTTCAAAGGAACTATGTCCATTCAACAAATAACTTGGAATGCAAATAAATCTAATACCGTATTATTCAAAAGACTTAGCTGCCTGCATTGTTCGAGCTCAGAAATCTGTTCTCACTGCCACTTAGTTGAAATGGTTGTGCCTATCAGATCCGAAAGAATCAGAGACAGTGAAGTATACAGTTCCAGCTCTGATGAAAGTTCTTCTTTCACCGATGAAAAGCACGATTTTAAAAGTCCTACTGTTAGAGATTCAAGATGATAAAATAGTCTGGGAAACGCACGACTTTATTGTCATAAAACATGGATCTTCCTTTTTTTCAGGTCAAATAAGAGAAATTCGAGACTCAGGTGCAGTTGTTAGTTGTATGGAAAACTATGGACGTCTGTGCACTTCTTGGAAATGGCCAGTATACGAAGACTGTCTGTGGTACAAATTATGATATTGTTAAAAAGATTGATTCTCCTAACCTTAAAACTAGAAATATTTATTCAGGTCCGTCCCTGGCTGAATATATTGACTGAAAACTGATGATGATATTAGAATGTTTTATTTTGTTTTTGATACTTTTTTTTATGCTATCATCAACTCCGTGGACACCAAATCAATACCACGGTCTTACAATTTATAATTTTCTTAAAAAAGTGCTTTAAAATAAGAAACGTAGCGCACCATGTTTTGTTACATGTTTAGAGTAAAAAAATGTCAATCCAATGTAATTCTAAGATGACAAGCATCCCGCCGTTTTTCGCTTGCGAATTGTCCCCTTTTGGTGGAATCACCCTAATCTCAATTTTATATTTCTCCTTTACTGTGTTATGTATATTATCTTTATTTTAAAAGTATTTTAAGATATTTGAACATATTATATCATTTTGTTCTTATTAAAATTAAAATATTTATCAAATTAATTATAAACCGGTTTTCAGAAAATAGAGATAATAATTAATTACAGAAAGAGCAATCATTATCCGTTGTCGCAAGCCAATTCAATATCATACCAATTTTAAAAGTATAACTTTAAAAATACTAATCTCATTTAATGCTAAGTTCCTCTAGATCCCCGACATGTTTCTTGTGGCAGTAATTAATTTACTTATATGCTGGTAACAAGTGCAAGATGCGACTGACAGGAAACAAAATTCTCATTCGGTATTTATAATTTTAGATTTGTCTGGTGCACCAGCATCCGGTGCACAAAAACAAAGACAGAAAACATTTGGTATTAAGTCGGATGAAGGTTGATGACGATTAACGTGGACAACACCATCTTTTTGCTATTTTACACAAACTTTACTACACTTTTTTTTGTTTAGTAATCTTTCGAAGTGCCCATGTATATATAGTTATTTATTGTACAGATGTGTTAGGTACCAAACTGTGACAATAATTGAATGCTTCCATGTTAAAGGTTTTTAGTTTAAATCACACTTTATTTCTGCTAATCTAATCGCGATCTGTTAATACAGGGTGTTTCATAAGTATCGTCGTTTTTACTAATTCAATATAAATAATAAAAACACAGATTAAAAATTGGATTTGCTTATTTTGTCACATTGACCATGTACTCTTTAAGTCAATTTTAAATTGATTTTTAATTTCTACATATGCAGAAGGGTAAATCTATGATCTCCAGGTGTTTTCTATACCTATCAAGTTGAGCTCTTTATAAGGTTTGATAATTGTAATTGATAAACGAAAACCATCGAGTGTTGAATCATAATAAAATTTGGAATATTACCCAGCTAGCACTAAAACATCCTATCTACGTTAATGAGCTGCAATTTTAGGCTCTTTAAGCTCGCAATCAAAGTACTTTTAATGTAACCTTAATATCCCTTCAACCGCCGAATGTCCGCATCGGCAAAACTTTTATAGCACATCTCATAGAGGTTACAAAGTGAAGTTCGGAAAACATCTCAATAGCACTTTTACGGTACTCACCCCGAAAGTGGCTCTGAAACGTTCTATAGATGTAATAATGTCAATTAGCTCTACAGCATTATACAGTGTGTCCACGGATGGCTTTAACTATACTTGTGAAAATATTTATTTTAAATTAGAAGAGTAATTCTTCATAATTTATTTTGCTTGTTAAATAAATGAAATGAAAAATAATATGTTTTTAAATTAAAATAAACATTTTTACAAGATAATTAAGACCATCCGTGGACATATTATAATGTTCTTTGTGTAATGTAATACAGAGAGGCTGAAATTGAGGTATAGTAAAAACTCAATCAGGACATGGAAATTTCAAATAAAACAAAATATCTATATAAATTTATTATTAAAATGTTCTTGAAATTAAGTAGCAATATCACAAAAGTAGAGGTAGGTATCTGTATCTGTAACGTGTGGAGGGTGGGTTACCCCCACGGCACTTAGGCCTCATTAGGCCCATTGTGCATCCTCCTAAGATGATAGGCACCTCCTATCTCGTCAGCCAGCGTACAGATTTAATGTAGTTGACAACGTCGCCAAGAGGTGCTTCTTTTATATCGGCCGGTGTTAGCCGATACTCGCCGAACACAAATCTTCTAATAAATGAGAGCATCGGGCAATCGTAAAGGATATGCTCTATGGTCTTATCTTCTTGTTCGCACCCTCTGCAGAGTGCGGATTTTGACAGCCCTATGATATGGAGATGCTTCCGTACTTGGCAATGACCAGTCAGAATGCCTGTGACCAGACGCAGATTCTGTCTAGTCATAGTCAAGTATTTGTTTACTGTAGTGTTGTCAGGATAACTTAAGAGCTCCCTGGCAACTCTGCAGTTTCTTGTTTCATCTCTCTTTCCTTGAATTTCACAAGGGAATGTTCTTTAATTAGGTCTGTCACTACCGATTTTGTCAGGCCAATAGAAGGGCCAGGTCCAAAAAGTATTTGGTTGGCTGCTTTCTTGGCTAGTGAATCGGCATAACGGTTACCTTTCGATGTGTCGTGACCTTTGATCCATCTTAAGGTGACCACATTGTTGATGGATACTTCGGCCAAAGCTTCATGACATTCTAGTACTAACCCTGCATAAATTCGTGGTCTGTTCAGGGTGAGTAGTGCTTGTTTGCTATCTGTATAGATGAGCATGTTCCTTCCAGTGATATTATTTCTGTTTATTTCTTTTGCTGCTATGAGAATCCCCGTTAGCTCTGTTTGAACTACATTGGCACTATTGCTCACAGCCCATTTTATGTTTAGGTTTAAGAATCTGGAGTATATTCCGCATCCTGAGCCTTGTTTTGTTTTAGAGGTAGGTATATCACAAACGCAATTACACATGTGCGATAGTAGAATAGAACGATTAGAAAAAATTAGCTTAATAGTATAAGGCATCAATATTGCAAAGGTTCACTAGAAGCTTAAACGGTGAACGATTGTACAAAAGTATATTTATACAAGGTACGTTTCAAGATGGCAATTGTATAATGGTAAAATTAGATCGGTGAATAATAGATGATTGCAACAATGACTAGGTATATATTATACGAAATAGCCAAGTTCCCAGATTTCTTACTTATAGACGCAGAGATATATCTTTTAAATCAAGCCTTTTAACTTTGTTTTTGTACAGATATGTATTTATTTATTTTTATTTTGTTAGTTTATTATTTATGCAAAGGTAAACAAAAATTATTTTATTGTAATTACATGTGGCTTCGAAATATTTTTATTTACGTTATAATGTAACATAAATGCATGATAATTTATTAGAAAAGGATAAATTATATTTTTATATAAAAAGAATTTACTTTTCGACAACATATTGAATAAAAAAGAGATTGACCTACTTGTTTAACTATTATTAAAGGAAATTATATAGAAATTGAAAAATATGCTCAAGTTTAAATCGTTGCACTTATTTTATATAATTTTGTCTTACTTTGTTGTTTTAAATAAAACAACCAAAGTTAGTGTATTGAAATTTTTTTGAATTTTACAAATTTTATACTTGATTATGGATTTCCAAGTTAGGTATGAAGATTTTATAAAAAACAACTCATATTTTTTAAGCAAGATATTCTGATGTATGCTCGAGGGCATCGTCTGTGATTTCTCTCAACTTTTCTTCTAATTTTGCACTTGAACTAATGGTTAGATTTCCAGGCACAACAAGCCTGTTGATGAGAATGAACTGCTTGAATTTGATTTTTTTTTTCAATATAGACCTACCGTGTACCTAGCTGTAGATTCATTTTTTATAAAATTTCAGGTATTATATATTCTTTAGACAATTCTGTAGTATTTACTTTTGCTTCTAAAATTTCAAGAATGTCATCAGGTACAAAGGAAATCTAAAATAAGTATAATATTTTAAAAATGTATTTTTAGTTCGATTAAGTATATTATTACCTACCCAGAAGTTTCTTACGTGCACATTTTACCTTAGTAATAGTTTAGCAAAAGATAAGGACATCTTGGTTATACGTATTTATTTATCGAATATGATACATTACAATATTAATTATGGTTTTCAGGTACATCTACGTAGCTAAGGCCTAAAAATTATAAACAATAATTATAATACTTATCAATTAGGAATATAAAACTTACAAACAGATATAGTCACAAACTTTAATTCGTCCTCTTCGTCTCTAGGTAGTACTTAATAATCCTAAAATCAATACAAAATATAAATCGATTTAAAATACATTAAGATGAGTAAAGTGTTGTTCCAACAAAATATCATTAAAAATATAAATGTTTACCCTATTATAGAGATATGAAATTATTAATTTAGTTCGTCTAGGGTAGATTTTCCTTAAAATCTCAATGATTTGTTTATCTTTGTTATGTCAAAGTCATTCTGTTGACAATTCTCTTCTTTTTCAAATACATTAAATTAATTAAAATTACATCAAGGTACAACAACCAGAACAATTTAAATACATCTTATCTGGACATGGATTGACCACCGATCACTTTTTATGATACTTTCTTTGTATTCTCATATCTGCCCGGTTAATGAAAATGGTTTCTTTCTGAACCACCTGGGTTTAAGTTTTCGAATTTACGGTTTTAATTACCCATTGACTAAACCATCATCTCAATTCTTACAAGGAACGTTCCGTTTAAGTGGAATCACATATTGTGGATTTTGTTTCTTGTAAAAAAAGGACTCGTAACATCTGTAGTAAATTCGACCTTTCCCTGCTTTCCTAAAAATCACATACCCATAGTGTTATTTTATTTTGGGCCTTTATTTATCATTTACTGTAATAATCTACTGAATAATTAAAGTTGAAGGTTAAAGTTGAAGGTGG